GACTGAAGCGCATCTTCACCTTTGGCAAGAAGAAGAAGGCGACTGGAGCCTCGAAAGAAGACGAAACATCGAAACCCGAATCCGACGCTCAGGTCACTACCGGTGCCATCATCAATCTGATGGCTGTCGACGCTTTCAAAGTCAGCGAGATCTGCGCTTATCTACACTTCCTCTGGGCGAACACCCCAGTCCAAGTTGTCGTGGCTGTCTTCTTGCTCTACCGCATCTTGGGTTACAGCTCGATTGCTGGTATTGGTATGATGGTGTTCTTGCTCCCGATCAATATGTATGTTGCGCGACAATTCTCTAAGATCCAGAAACTCATTCTCGCGGCCACTGATGCCCGCATCCACACGACCAACGAAGTCCTCACCAACATCCGAATTATCAAGTTCTTTGCTTGGGAGCAACGCTTCATTGGTCTGGTCAACGAAAAGCGGTACATTGAGCTCAAGCATTTGCGAAGGAGATACATTCTGTGGGCGGTAGCAGCTACGATATGGTCGGGCTCGCCAGTCTTAATCACGTTCTTGTCCTTCCTCGTGTACACGAACGTTGAACATAAGGCGCTCATTCCATCTGTCGCATTCACCGCCCTCTCGCTTTTCCAAATCCTGAGGATCCCGCTGGACCAGCTCGCAGATATGGTTGCACACGTCCAAGAATCCAAGGTTTCAGTTGATCGTATCGAGGAGTATCTGTCCGAGCCTGAGACGGACAAGTACTCGCAACTCGTGACCCAGAAGAAGGACGAAGATGGCCAAGCCATTATTGGATTCGAGAATGGTACATTCAGTTGGGGCGGAACAGACATGGCAGACCAGGCCTCGGCAGATGCCTTCAAGCTGATGGACCTCAATCTGACGTTCCGTGTCGGCAAGCTCAACGTTGTTGTTGGACCCACTGGCTCTGGAAAGACTTCATTGCTCATGGGCCTGCTTGGTGAAATGACAAAGCTCAAGGGTAGTGTTTACTTGCCTGGTGGACTAAGCCGAGAGGACCTGACTCCCGACCCCGACACTGGACTCACTGACAGTATAGCTTACTGCGCTCAGCAAGCTTGGCTTGTCAACGGTACAGTCAAGGACAATATCGTATTCGCAAGTCCTTTCGACCAGAAGCGCTACGACGAGGTTATCGAAGCCTGCTCTCTGAAGCGAGATCTGGAGATTCTGGATGCTGGCGACGAGACTATAGTGGGAGAGAAGGGTGTGACGCTCTCCGGAGGCCAGAAACAGCGTATCTCATTGGCCCGTGCGTTGTACAGCAAGGCTCGTCACGTTCTTCTTGACGATGTTCTGAGCGCTGTCGACGCCCATACTGCCAAATGGATCTTCCATTACGCACTTCACGGACGACTCATGGCCAACCGAACTTGCATCCTTGTCACACACAACGTCAGCCTCTGTTTGCCACACGCAGAGTTTGCTGTTGCACTTGAGAACGGCCGAGTGGTCGCACAAGGCACAGCAGACGAGGTAATCAACTCAGGAAAGCTTACCGAGGATCTTACTAAATCACGGCCCGCATCAAGAGGAGCGTCCAAGCCTCCTTCCCAACAGCCCTCGGATGCTGGTGAAGAGGCAAACGGCGATGCCAATCACGCCAACGGGTCTGCTAATGGCACCGCAAATGGCAAGCCGGACGCTAAGAAGAAGAAGCCAGCCAGCAACAGTCAGGACGAGAAGAAGGCGGAGGGAGGCGTTAAGCTGAGCATCATCACGATGTATCTTCGAGCTATGGGCCCCTGGTACTACTGGCTTGGTGCTACCATTGCTTTTGTAGCTGCACAAATCTCTTCGGTATCCACCAACCTCTGGATCCGCACATGGGCGAACGCGTACGCTGAAAAGGGCTATGCTGTGGCAAGCAGCCATCACCAATCTCCAGTAACGCATGCTCCGACAATAAGTGGCATGGGAACATGCATGAACAGTGGTACCTGCAGCTGGAACACTCCCTTCTTCACACAACCGGAGCAGCAGTCGTATGCCTACAACACCATGCAAACTACCTTCAGTAACCCGAACCCGGACGTCAACTCTGCATACTTCCTCAGCGTTTACGCCGTTCTTGGACTCATCTTCATGTTCATCACCTTCTTACGAGAGGGCTTCCTCTTTGGAGGGTCTCTCGCTGCATCCAAACGCATACACGAACGTCTCATTCAAAAGGTCACGCATGCCAAGTTCCGCTTCTTCGATCAGACCCCACTCGGTCAGCTCATGAACAGGTTCTCCAAGGACATTGAGTCAGTCGATCAAGAGGTAGCGCCAGTCGCCATTGGTGTTGTCCATTGCTTTGCTTCCATCATCACGATCGTCATCCTTATTTCCATCATTACTCCTGGTTTCCTGATCGCGGCCTTCTTCATCTCCATCCTCTACTTCCTCATCGGTCGCTTCTACATCAACTCGTCCCGCGACCTGAAGCGATTGGAATCCGTACATCGAAGCCCGCTGTATCAACAGTTTGGTGAGACACTATCCGGCATGACGACTATCAGAGCCTACGGTGACGAACGCCGCTTCATCCGCGAGAACTTGGCGAAGATTAACACTCAACATCGTCCATTCATCTATCTCTGGGCGGCTAACAGGTGGCTTGCGTTCCGAGTAGACGTTGTCGGTGCCATGGTTGCTTTCTTCTCCGGAGCTTTCGTTGTGCTCAGCGTTGGACACATTGATGCAGGTGCCGCAGGTCTCGCGCTTACCTATGCTGTTACCTTTACCGAGAACGTCTTGTGGTTCGTTCGTCTCTACTCCGCCAATGAACAGAACATGAACTCGGTCGAGCGTGTCAAAGAGTACCTCGATGTCGACCAGGAAGCCCCATCTGTCATTTCAGAGAACCGTCCACCATCCAACTGGCCGAGCAAGGGATCCGTAGAGTTCATCAACTACAGCACGCGATACAGGACTGACTTTGATCTTGTCCTGAAGGACTTGACCTTCAAGATCCTTCCAGGTGAGAAGGTCGGTGTCGTAGGCCGAACGGGTGCCGGCAAGAGTTCAATGGCACTTGCCTTGTTCCGGGCGCTGGAGGCTGAGAAGGGCAAGATCTTGATCGATGACATTGATGTTGGTACGATCGGCCTGCACGATCTGCGGGAGAACGTCGTCATGGTACCGCAAGGTAGGCACATTTTTTTCTCTTATCAGGGTGAAACAGATGCTAACACTACACAGATCCGACACTATTCACAGGCACTATCCGAAGCAATCTCGACCCCTTCTCTATCTTCACTGATGAAGAGATCTACACCGCCCTTCGCGAAGTCAACCTGATCTCTACTCTATCACGGCCCGCGTCCGGCTCTGTCACTCCTACTGGAGCGACCACCCCACCTCGCGCTGTCCAGATTCCCGTTCCGACAACAAACGCTGTGACAGCGGATGTCAACGGCAGCTACTCAGCCGCCACCACAAATCCCGGGTCCATTCTGGCGAACCGCGACTGGGATCGTGGCGAGACACAGGAAGACACTGTCGTGGTCATGCCTGATGGTCGTACTGCGGACCGCGACGATGTAGCGGCGCAGGCTGCTATGGAGGCCGACAACAAGAACCCATTCAAGAACCTCAACTCGCTGGTGTCGGAATCCGGGTCCAACCTGTCGCAAGGTCAACGACAACTTTTGTGCTTGGCGCGAGCGCTACTGAAAGCACCCAAGGTTCTGCTGATGGACGAAGCCACAGCGTCCATCGACTACGCCACCGATGCGAAGATCCAAGAAACCATTCGTCAGATCAAGAACACTACCATCACGATAGCGCATCGTCTCCAAACGATCATTGACTACGACAAGGTCCTTGTTCTGGACAAGGGTGAGGTTATCGAGTACGGCCATCCCTACGATCTTGTCCGAAAAGATGGTGGTTCCTTCCGATCCATGTGTGAAACCAGTGGCGAGCTAGAAACCTTGACTACTACAGCGAAGACTGCGTATGAGTCAAAACCTACATCAGCTGCTGCATAGAGATCGCAGCCCCGGCCATACGGTCGAAGGGTCTTGGGATGAGAAGGGAGAGTCAAATTTAGACGGAGTTGGAGAACAAAAAGCATGTGATCAAGACGGTTTTGCATGAGCGAGTCATTATTTCCTTCTGTTTCATTGTCGGCGTATACCAGACAGGGCCTATGGGTGGTTACCTGCTCTTAGTGTGCATATAATTATAATCGACACATTGACGTACCCACCTTGTAAAAGAAAAAAACTGAATAGGTCTACAGCCTACATCAACTCCAGGTCACCTATATTGTAGGTTTTTGTGTTGATGTAGGCTGCAGGCCTGTCAAGCTTTTTTGTAGTTAACGTGTACTACTAAACACCCTAGAGCCTACATCAAGATAAAAACATACAAAGTAAGCGGTCCAAGGTCAACGTAGGCTCCAGGATGTTCGGGGTTTCCCATTGTGTGAGGTCAAGTAACTTGGGTAAGCGGTGCTCGTCAGCATGTACATGTCAGCCAGGATCGGATCTTGGCGGATCTGACAAAACGCACCACCACGTCGACGACCACCGATCAGTAAACAGAAGCAAAGGGCTGAACGTGTGATATCGAGCCAGTCCTGTTACTGCGCTGTAGCAACAAAATTCTGATCGGTCAGCAAAAAGTGCAAATTACGCCGTTGGGCTTTGTGGCTTTCGCTGAAGTACCAATCACGTGGCTGTTCAGCCCGCCGCTTTCGGGTCTTACTTGCCTTGTCCGGCGTCTTATCAGCCTTTCGTCATGCAACTTGAGCTGGTGTATGAGTATTCGCTTGGAGGTGAATAATGGCTTTTGCTGACTGTAGTGTTGATTTGTCGTTGGGGAGGATGCGGGAAGGGGTGGCTTTCCAGTGCGTTGGCTCTATGGGAGGATGGGAGCAGAGCCGCTTGATGATTAGAATAGATGGTAAAGTGTGTAAGTATAAAGGGAGTGTTACACCGGAAATGTTCGAGTAGCTTTTTCGATAGTATCGACTTTTACAACATCCCGTACGCGTACCTGGACACAATGGAAACAATTAAAGAGATCGTCCGCGACGCGCCTTTTGGCCAGCTTGTTCGTTACGCAACACGTAACCGCTTCTTTAAGTATCCGGAAGAGTTACCTGGTTTCGAGATTCCATCTGCATACACCGACGTCGAGAAACTTCCCTCCCATACCGCAGGAGTTGAAGGGACTTCGACACGCAACTCAACCTCAACCACCCCGCTTCCATCGCACACCCTGCCATTCAGCCCCTCTCGCCTCGAAGCCGACCTAGCCCTCCACGCCACCCACTCACCCGTTCACTCCATCGCGCCCGTCAAAACCGCCGACGGCCTCATACTAGCAGAGTGGTACACCACGACCGACCCTGCGAACCCGCAGAACTGGTCGCAAGGCAAGAAGGGATGGACGGCGTTCTTGATCTGTCTGTATACGTTCATTGTGTACGCGGGTAGCTCCATCTATGTTAGTAGTACGTTGTTGGTCATGAGTGAGTTTGGGGTGGGGGCGTTTAAGGCGAGCTTGGGATTGGCGCTTTATGTGCTAGGTATGTTGCTGATCTGCATTGAGAGAGATGATGGGATGGATAGCTGACGGTGTGTAGGATATGGGATTGGGCCGCTGTTGTTTGCGCCTTTGAGCGAGGGTATGTGATAGTTTCTCCTGTCCTTCTTCATCGGATGCTCGTCCCGTGTGAGGAAGTTATCGCGGACGTAGGCCTTTCTGACAGCCCACCACAGTACCACAACTCGGCAGAAACATACCGTACATCACGACTTTCGCGCTTTTCACCATCCTCACTTTACCTACCGCACTGGTAGACAACCTGGGCGGGTTCCTTTTCCTCCGCTTCCTGCTCGGCTTCTTCGGAAGCCCTTGTCTAGCGAATGGCGGAGCCACAATGCAGGATCTATACTCTCTACTCCATATACCGTACGGCCTAGCTTTCTGGACAGCAGCCGCGTTCGCTGGACCAGCTCTAGGGCCTCTTCTATCTGGCTTCTCCGTCTATGCGGAAAACTGGCGATGGTACGTCTTTTCGCTTTGTTGATCCAGCCTTCCCATTTGCGCGATGCTGACTAGACCCGTGTTCAGGTCTCAGTGGGAACTCCTCTGGATGGCCGCTCCAGTATTCCTCCTCTTTTTCTTCTTTCTCCCAGAAACGCAGCCTACCACCATTCTTCTTTACCGATCTGCCCGTCTGCGTGCACTGACTGGCAATCCGAATATCCACACGCAAACCGAGATCGATCGCAAAGGCACCAAGTTCTCCGCAGAACTCCTCGATACTCTCATCAAACCTCTGGAGATCTGCGTCAAAGACCCTGCTCTCTTCTTCATCAACGTCTACTCCGCGCTGACCTACGGCATCTACTACTCCTTCTTCGAGGTCTTCCCTCTCGTGTATTTGGAGATATACGGGTTCAGCGTCGGCGAGATGACGATCGTATTTCTGTCGATCATCGTCGGGTGCGTCATTGCTATGACGATTTACTTCTCCTATCTGAGGTTCTACCTCATACCGGATATCCTGAAGAGAGGATTGAGACCTCAAGAGCATAGACTCGTGCCAGCGATTTTCGCGAGTTTTGGGGTACCGATTGGGTTGTTCATCTTTGGTAAGTCTGATCGCACGACTAGAACTGAGACTTCAAGCACTAACAGCGATTTTGCGTAGGCTGGACGGCTCGTGAATCTGTACATTGGATTGTTTCAACTATCGGTATCGTTATATATTCGACCAGCGTGTACATCATCTTCCAGGCTGTATTTTGTAAGTCATCGCCTATACGTTCACAGTACTTACTGTCCACATCGCTAACGTGTCTTCAGCATACGTGCCCATGTCTTACCCGCAATACGCCGCGTCCCTTTTCGCGGGCAATGACTTCTGTCGGTCTGCTTTCGCTTTCGGATCCGTACTCTTCTCCCGTCCCATGTATCTCAAACTGGGAATAGGAAAGGGTATTAGCCTTTTGGGTGGCTTGAGTGTCATGGGCATTGTGAGTTTGATGAGATCAAGCAAGTCCGTGAATGCGCGCTAACTCGAAGTAGATTGGAATGTATTTGATCTGGGTTTATGGCGCGAGGCTGCGAGCGAGGTCGAAGTTCGCTGTATGAGATGCGAGCGACGACGATGACGATGGAGGTGGTGTCATATGGAAGGCTGGGTGGCTGGCATCATCTTGCCTGCCTCCAGATGCAAGAGCTGCGTATTTGGTCTAGACGCAATTGGGAATGGACCCACCACGCCCGGACGACGGATGTGCGATGATCGTAGAGAATTCACATTTAAACTACTATTAAACAAACATACTCGAAGTGACTGTTGGAAATGACCATGACCGCTTACCTGTGAGAAGAAGAATGACGGTTCTATGGGCACCCTAGAACCAAAGAAAAAATACGGATATCGAGGAGAGCCCCGATACCCGCTGCCTTACCTGGTAGCGTCAAGGAGACCTGACGCTGTAGCATATTGGCTTACCTTCCCATATATGCTACATCGGAATGGCATCCGATGCGCAAAGGGTTTCTAGCAAGCATCGGGCAAAGCACCGAATACTGCTGTCTTCTGACTATGGAACTTCGATCAAACGACCGAAAGTTCCTCTCCGTGGCAATGCATATCGGGTTCACGCCCCGATAGCCTGGTCGTCCGTGTTTTCCACACTCAGTCGTCTTCCAACGCCGCCCGCTGGTCTGCCTCGCTGAGCTTGATGCCATCGAGGGTACCGGAAGTGGCGGCAGGCGTGGGTGCGGCCTGAGAAGCGGCGGGAGCAGCGGGGGCAGGTGTTGGCGAAGAGGCTTCAGCAGCTGCTTCAGATGCAGTGTGCCATACTTTTGCCTTCTTACGACCTTCTGCTGCCTTCTCGGCGGCAGGCACGTCATCCGTCTTGGCTTCGCTCACAAAGTCCCGGGCATACTGAGACGAATTGTCCGGCCGAGCAGGAGGTTCAACACAACCACCACGACGACTAAGACCACCACGACCATCAAGACCACCACGACCACCACGACGACTACCACGTGAGGCGAAGCCACCGGAGTGCCCATGGGAGTTGAGCTGCTCCAGTCTCAGCCTCTCTGCTGCAGCCTTGTCGGCGGTGGAGGTGTCTGGCAAGGCGCGGGGCTGATAGGTATCATACAGAAACCCTAAGTTGATTAGCCATGTAAAATACCAAACGATGTACCACTTACCAAGAAAATTGGCAGCACCATTGAGGGCAGCCATCTTCTCGCCGACCTTCCGTGACAAGATGGCTTCCTCCTCACCCGCCACCCTCCTCTCCTCGTTCTCCTTCAGGAGCTGCTTTCGCCGGCGAGCCCGCTCCTCTATCTCACGTTCCATCGCACGCCTCTCCTCCTCTAGCACGAGCTCTTGCTGCCTCCACTTCTCTTGATTGGCAGCAAGTAGCTTTTCCCCGTTCGCTAGAACAGCCGCCAGATCAGCCTGATACGCTGCGTCCGCAGCCTTCTTCTCCGCACGCATTTGCCGCTGCAAAAACGTTAGCAGAGCGCTTCATCAGCATAGACAATTCTTACCCTCTCCTCTTTCTCTCGATCTGCGCGCACCTTCTCTTCCTCTGCGCGCACTCGCGCAACCTCATCCGCAACCTCCGCCTTGCGCACACGCTCCATTTCCGCCCTCTGCATCTCCGCCATCTTCTCCTGCATCTCCGCCATCTTCTCCTGCAGCTCCTTCAGTTGCCTCGCCTGCTTTTTCTCATCGTGTTTGCGCCCCATTGTGTGATGGGATGCGATGTGTTGTTGTTGTTGAGAAAACTTTGCAACGCGAGCTCCAAACCGACATATCTGTAGTGGTAGAACGCACAGACTCCCGAGGTCACAACAAGACTCACGTGACTATCAACTGCATTATCACCGTTCACCGTCAGACGATCAAGAACAAGGGAATTTAAAGAATGAGGCTTTGTAAAGGCTTTGTCTGGCCTGGCAAGTCCCAAAAGGAGGTTTGCTAAACTCTTGACTACTATGCACTTCCTGATGCCGAACTGGCATCCACACGATGCATTAGCGAAGACTGATCTACTGTGGAATCCCATTGCAGACCGCGATACTGCGGATATAGGACGATGTCATACAAGTGTGCCATGGCGTCCGTGTGAGTGTACTTCGTAAACTCTGCTACAAGTTTTACGTTGGAGCTGGCGAAGAGCTTCACCTCCGCCCCGTCGGGTGGGCAGTCACGCTTCTGGTGGTCGAAGGCGTGGTCGGAGGGTGAGTAACTACCTGCCGAGCCTGCGGCGCCGCCTGGTTACTGTTCTGATGTGGGAAGTTGCGTGGGCGGTTCCATTGGCCCTTGTGATGCTGCTGCGAGGGTGGGGGTAAGGGAGGCGACAGGTCAAGAAGAGAAGGACTTCAGGCTTTGGGACGGGTTTGGGCAATGCGCATTCTTGAGAGGCTTCGCTGTCCATTCGACCTAAAGTAACACACCTACAAAAACTGTAACATGATGAATTACTAGAATTCTGGTACAACGCCAGTTCCTCAGTATGTACGTATCGTCACTTCGACCAGAACACAATAAGATCATCAATGTCATCATCGTCAAGCTCGCTCGACTTCTCTTTGAACGTTGGCCCATAACCTTCACGCTTACTCCGAAGCCGGGAGTAAACCTGATAACAGTTCGCCAACTCAATTTCTGCCTCTTCTTTCTTCCCCAATCCACTCAACGCTTTGTACCGCATCCAGCACGCTCGGGTCTTCTCGGGCATATACGTATGAGAATTGGAGAATGCCTCAAGAGCATGATTGAGGAGAGCAAGTGCCATGTCGTAGTTCCCCAGATTTATATGGTGCTCTGCGACTTTGACGAAGACGTCGGCGGTACGGTGATGTCGGTTGCCAAGAGTTGACTTGTAGTGCATAAGTGCACGGCGGTGGTAGTCTAGACTGGATTTCATATTTCCCAAGGCGTGAAGGAAGCGGCCGGTGATGAAAGATACCCGATCTTCTTTACCGAACTCATTTTCGCGGTCTCGCAGCCCCTTTTTGAGGGTCCTAGAAGCTAGCTCGTTGTTTCCTTGTAGCCAATACGCCAGACCCAGATTAGCGAGCTGCAATAATGGTTAGCGTTCGTGACATACACAACGGACAATGTTACTCACGGGTAGCGAGATCATGGTCTCACTGAACTTGCGGTACTTGCGCATTTCTTCGATGGACTTTAAGAAGCATTCTTCTCCTCTCTTCCAGTCCCGGTTGAGCATGTGCGCGTTTCCCAACTCGTTCCAAGAGATGGCGAGACGCATGTCCTCGGTGTCACTCTTCAAGCTTTCTTTTACCATTTCTTCATTGAACATCGTATGATACTGCAATGCATCAGTTGGCTCGTTGATCTCAAGAGCTATGCATCCCCTGTTGTGTGCAATCTCGGTAAGCGAATAGTTTAGCATCGAGAGAGTTACCGTGCTGCCATGCGCGAGTTCGGGGCGCTCCAGCAAACGGAGCTTGAGAGACTCGCATATCGACTGGGCCATGTTGTTGGAGTAGATCGCATCCGGCGACTGGCCACGTTCGTGTTGATACCAACCACTATCTATGAGGAGCTTCGCAAACTCGTAGTCGTCAAATGAGTCTGGGAATGGCGTAATCAACGGAAATACAGTCTTGAGGCGCTGTATGTGGGGAAACAACTCCTCGCAATTCTCCCAGCGAGCGATGCCATGTCTCCAGGTGAGCTCCTGAAAAGTCCACCTATCGTTGATCAATTCCACACATGCAAGGAAGTATTTCCTCATCTCAGGCTGACGCAATCTGGCTCGTGCTACATCTTGTACCAGCCTGTGTACTGATAGCTTTCTTTTCTCCTTGTTGCTGGTGAGGAGCGATCGCGCCAAGAGTTCGGTGCGCGCAGCAACGTAGTCATTTTTGACAGATTGAACTAACTCAGAGTCGTCATCCTTTATTGGAGAAGTGAAGATAGATTCTGGGATTGCGTCAGGGTCCAGCATAGAAATGATGTTGATAAGCGCTACGCCTTTTCCAAGGCGGTCAAAGGCCCAAACAGAAGCCACGTTGGACTGATAGTTGCTTGTCGAGCGCGATTTATCGGGAGTTTGCCAGTCAAAGAAGGCCTGTGACCCTTCATGATCCTCGAAAGAATAGAGGAAGTCCGCAAATGACATATTCTTGGATGCAACGATAGAGCCCATTTGACTGAGGGCTAGAGGTAGACCGCCCAAACGATTGGCAATGGTTGTTGCTGCTGTCATCTCATAACCGGCAATGGGTTCTTTGCCGGTCACGTGGAATAAGTACTGCGTAGCCTCGGGTACGCTGAATGGTTTCAGCTCCAGAGATGCAGACCATGAGTACGGGTTGCGACTAGTGATGAGAACAGAGCCCGGGCCGTTATATGGCCAGAAGCCATTCAACACTTCGCCATCCTCCACGCCATCGAAGACCAGAAGCCAGGAAGCTTTTCCTTGCGTTTTCCCGCTTTCGCGTGATCTATCTTTCTCCGGATTGACCAGCCACCCTTTCAACACATCCCTTGTGTAGTTCAAGTCCATCGCATCTCGAGAATCAGCTGCCACCAGACCCAAGCCAATGGCCAAGTCTTTGTAGTCCTGCGCTATCTTCCCTGCATCTTCTGCATGAACCCATAAGATCGCATCAAACTTGGTTCTGTGCTTGGCCACAAATTCTGCTGCGATTTGGGTTTTCCCCATACCACCAGGTCCGTAAATTGCGTAACATCTCGGCCAGCTTACAGGCTTGTTGTCCACAGCTTCGTCTTCAGCAACGCCGCATATGGCTTTTTGCATCGCATTGAGCGCATAATCCCGGCCGTAGAAGTTCCTATCCGGGGATACAGGCACCTGGTAGGCAGGGAGCATTGGTCCGGAAAATGCGTTCGACGTGAAGTCTTCAAGGAAAAGCCGCTGTAAGAGAGGCTGTAGGGTCTCATCGCGATCATGCCCGAAGTATGGTTGCCGTTCAATGAAGCTCCAATCTTCTTCGTACGAAGAGTCAAGAAGTGGTGTTATCTCACCACTCCTGGTCGGCATCTCAGGTGTAATGGTACTGTCAACGTCTTCAGGAAACGCCAGACTTGACGCCCCATTAGATTCTAGGGCTCTGGAGCCGTTCTCGCTCTGCGCAGTGACGTCTTCGGCTCTTCCCGTTTGCGATGGGCCATCTGAATGTTCTTCGGCCTCATCTTGCCATGGCAAAGCCTTGGCGGCGAGTGACTCTAGATGAGCTGCGAGGTGTTTGATGATACGATCCGATAACGTTCTGTCTCTCTGCGCTTGACTCAAACCAGCCGAATGACTTATTCCGTTATCGTTTGGTACATACGAACACAGAGGGCACTGCGGGAAGATGATGGCCGTTGAAACTTTGCTCTTTTTCGCTAACACAGGTAATTGTGACTCGGTGAATGATTTGGAGTGCTGACTTCGCATGTGTTTACAGTATTCCTCTTCGCTTTCGAACCGCGATGCCGAATGGGTCTTGGACGTGCACCTCCAGCGGGTATTATGCTCTTGCAGATGGGCTATCCAGGTAGCTTTGTTTTCGAAGAGCTTTTTGCCGTCCGGGCATCCTTCGAAGAGACAGGTGTAGGGCTCAAGATCTTCCAGGACATGTCGTCTGTAGTTGAGTCAGCTATCCAGACTTGACCAGTCGCAAATATTGCAGAGCACATGATAGACGTATTCGCCAAGGTTGACTAATGAAGCGTGCTTTCACATACCTCCAGTGAGAAGCTTTCGATTCCTTGATTGGTAGTATGAGGCAACAGTATGGACATTCAAACTCCTTGCTGCCAGCAGCTGGTTTGGGAGGGCGTGGCAGCTCTATTGGTGCACTCGATGAAGGTGTGGCAGTGAAAGCGGTAGACTGGTTTGATTTTGCGTCCTCCAGTGCCCGATCAAGTGGCAGATTATGCTTTCGGAGTGCGGATGCAGAAGTCTGTGATAGATCGGAGGCTTTTGATCGATGAAGCTCTAGAAGCAGAGTAGGTGACAGTGACGGCTCATCTGCTAACCTAGAGGCGCGTACTGTTGTGTCCGTCTCTCGATTTTTGGCGTCATATACCAAGTCATCCCGTGCGTCTTCCTTCGATGGATGCACCGCAGACAATTTCTTCTGGTGGTGTCGACGGAATAGAAACCGTTGGCGACGAATGACAATGCCATGCGATAATTTGTTGCGCAGAAACTCGGGCGCATGCGGGAAGCAGTGATTCACTATCTGGAGCGCAAAAGTTGCGAACGTATCGTTGAGTACGTTATTTTCCTCATCTCTCATCACGAACTGTTCGGCCTTTTCGTTCTGAGATGATCTTGACGGCTGGCGAATCAGAAGGGAAAGCCGGTATAGTCGATCGATCGCTTTCTCTATACCTGGTAACCTGCTCTCAGGTAATGAATCCTCTGCTGAAGTCGCGATGACCAGCTCATCTTGAACCGAATCCGTCTCCGTTCCTTGGAATGATGATGATATCGCAGAAGAGGTCGTATCATCGAAGCTTGTATCTCTAATGGATCCATCGTCACCAGTAACACTGTCGATACGATAGAGCGCATCAGATGATCCTTCTGGTCTTAAGCTTGCGATAGCTAAACGAAAAACAGTTAGCCAATGTGTTATAAATCAACTTCTCAATCGCGTTGCATGTCGCTCGGGTTTTCTTTCGTCTCTGCCTACGCTATCTGATGTCGCGAGAAGGTAAGGGTATTGACACTTGCCTCGTCTTGTGAAGTCTGCCAGAGTGACAAGGAATCCCAGCATAAACTTCTGCGTTTGGTCGTTACCACGAAGTCTGTAATCGAGCGAGGCGTGACCCTGAGCAAAAGCTCCGATGTTTGCCGCCCATATCTTGAACCTGGCGTACTGCTCTTCAATCCAATTGACATTATAAGTATCATTGGACTTGTCGCATGCGAGACCTAACTCTTCACTAATCTCAATGAGCAACTCAAACTGGCCTTTGCATCCTTGAGCGGCTGCGCGAAGCTCATAAGACATGCTAAAGGGTAGGCTGGTCCCATCAACTGACTGAATACGGCGGGAGAGAAGTCAAGATCAAAGGCTACAGCAGAGCCTCGTCCGGTGAGAAATCTAGGCTGATTGCCTGGGATAAAGGTTAGAAATATTACAGACGCTGTTTATCGGTCAGTAATGGTGTACGGTATGGAACATGTATTGGCCGTCGTGAAACATACATCGGCGGGGTAGAACGCCCGTCAGCCCAATGACGCCCTCTTTCTTTCCAGCTCACCGGATCTGTCGTAGGCTGTGCTGCGTTTGCCTTGGCCTTCCTTAGATAATAGCCTGTCGTCCACATGGAGAAGGCATGCGCCTATCTTTCGCAACAAGATGTCTGGTGCTGAGCTTGCTCTGGCTATTGTGCCACTTGTCATAGTGTTGATTGAACATCACCAGACCGTCTTTCGCAGAGGCAAGGCACTGACCTTCTCCAAAATCAGTAATAACCAACAACTGGACTTTTACCAAGAGCTGCATGATGAGATACTTCTACTTAAGTTGACCTTAGAGAAAGTACACGCTACCTCCACGAACGTGTTGTCCAGCGAAGCATTACCGGACAAGTCTCAAGCTGAAGCAATCGAAATTGCGCTCGGCAAAAATGCAGACAACTTCAATCAGATTCTGGACCGGGTGTTGAAAAGCATAAACGACCTAGTGCGAGAGAGATCAAGCGTGCTGACGGACGATGATACGGTAAATACTCCATCGCCGGGACCTCGAAGATGGCACTACCTAGACTGACCTTTCCAGGACAGCCAACATGCTATGCTGCACCGGCTTCGCGACTTCGCGAACACGATCGAGAAGAAAGGAGCGAAGAAATCGGCTCGCGAAAAGTTTCGGTTCGCGCGCAATGAGCAGACTCGGAATGTGGCGATGAAACGCATACGCGATGGAGTACGCCATTTGGAGCGTATATTGGGCTCTTCGACGGAAATCTTCGAGCACCAGCGTCGCGTTGCTCGGAGAAGAACACCAGCCGATAGAATGAAGAAACTCCCCGAAGAACTGTTCAGGAAGTTAGCGAGCAAATGGTCCTGCTCTTGTCGCACACGACACCTAGCGAGATTGTGCCTGTGGAATTGCTGTTGTACGTACGATAAGCGCGGTGATTCGAGCGACAGTCTCGACATTATCGTATCTGTGCCTATCGAAGATCAAAGATCATCTCAATGGCAGAAAAGCAGTATTCGCGTCAACCAGAGGTTAGTCGCAGAATCATACCTAGTGTGTTGCTGAGCTTTGCTAAAACTCAGTGATTAGCCAAGAAGATCGAGCAAAAAAGGGGAATCATAGCGAACCTCAGGTTCGATTTGCAGGCGGCCAAGCACCGTCCACTCCGTCTTCAACAAGCACTCCCTCATCGGCACCGCCGGGTCGCAATATTGAATCCGAGTCGCTATGTGATCTGCTACAGAAAGCAAGGACTTCGAATACAAGCCTTCAAATCTTGTTTGAGAATGACATGCTATGGCAGCAGAGAGCTAAGCGATCAGACTCACAAATCCGCCACCAGTTAGATGCATCTTTGGTAAGTCTGCTGGGAGATGCAAAATGCTGGAAAGAACGCAGCAAGCCTCGCGACAGATCGATATTGGCTGTAGTCCTTGCGCATGCAGTCATGCACTGTTCTGAAGGTCCGTGGCTTCCCGCAGACTTCGGCAAGAAACAGATTTTCTTCTTCCGGGAAGAAGGCGTTCAACATCCAGACGTTCGCCGACCGCTCTTTGCGCTGGACTTTACACATCTACCGACAACGGTTGACGACGATGATAATCTGTTCTCGGTCCACTCGAATCCCACCATCCTGTCTCTGGGCATCCTGCTACTCGAGATCAACGACGGGATCAAGATAGAGGACCATTGGGCTCCAGGAGACCTCATGGATGGCTCGATACCGAATGAAAGTACAAACTTGACGACAGCACTTCGTCTACTGGAGAAACTCGACGATGAGCTGTGGATAGGATCACAGGACGCGGTAAGGGCGTGTCTCGAGTGGGATGAAGTGAATGACGGAAGGGAGGATGAGGACTTCGTGAAGCGAGTATATGAGCTCATCGTTGAACCACTAGAGGATGTGTTGCGGCAAGCCTGGGGTGTCACACCAGAGCAGCTAGGATTCGATAGGATACACAAGCGTCAACAGGCTGGTTCGGGGGGCACATAATGTAACGGGAACGCGTGCAGAACGCGTGCAGGAAGTCTGCGATGTGACCCAGTTTTGATGCGCAGGTGACGTGATGCACGCGTTTTGATTGGATCCAAGCCGATGCCCCCTGATCCCCCTCAACAACCCGTGCTGCCCAGCCTTCTTCGACGCACAGGGCAACTAAACTGCGAGGACGGATTTTGCAGTCCAACAAACATACGGCTTGCCTCTCGCTGCCTTTCATACTCATCGTAGTTACATGAGAAACTGTTACGTATGCCGTGTCCTATATTGTACGGCACCTGCAAGTCTGCGCTTTGCGCATATCGGGAACGTTTCGTTGCAACCAACTTACTGACCCACAATAGTCCTCGCTAGCAGTGCTCATCGGAGACTCCCACGATGACGGCTTCCGCTACTAGCCCTACCGCCGATTTCCAAGCGGCTGTTCTGTCTCCGGGCGCGATCGTTCCTACGGGACCCAAAAGACAACCGTGGCGCGAGGTCTGGCCTGCGCCTCGAGAGCCTCAACAACAAGCCCAAATCTATGGCTTTGCGAAAGGCGAGGTAATGGTGTTCGATGGCAATGCGGGCAATTTCTTCGCTAGAGATGGCTGGACCGTCGAACAAGAGAGCGATACACAAGGCAAGGTTACTGCAAGGGGCGCAGAACAGAGCATAGGACAGCCGTCTAAGCGCTGCGGCACAGTTCCATAAGTACGCTATGTGCGCTTTGCCGAGGGGACATGGAACGTAGCGTTCAAATACATATAGACTATACTTGCCTGTGGTTCAACGTGTCGAAACGTCAGATGGCTCGTCGAAGCCTCCGTAATACACCAACGCCCTTGCCTCAATACTCTCCCGTGGCTCTCCCTTCTCGTTCCTAAGCTCGAAAGCAGTATGCGGCACTAGAAGATTGCGCAATTAGCCTTTGCATCTGCTGCACAATCACTTCCCTTGCTTGATCGCCGTCATATCCACGTACCAGGTTTTGTTCCCGCGTTCGCATCAGTGTCGCTTTGCAGGAAAATCCACGCCTCATCCGTGCCTTGATCGCTGCACCACCACCATTCCAACCCCTCGCTCCAATACAACTGCCGGTTCTCCACCACATAATCAGGATAGACCAGGTCGCACGGTTCCAGGTCACTCTTGATGTCAATGGAATGCGGGTCGCAAAGAGCCAGTGGCCAGTCTTTCACGGGGCCACGCAATGGTTTCCAGAAACTGTGCCACTCGGATCAGCAAATGATAAACGAGGATGTCTCAAGAGCAGGAGATTTTACTTAACACACTGGATTCTCTCTTTGACAATATCCAAGTTATTGGGATTGAGCTGCTTGGCCATATCCACCGCCCAGCTTGTCGTAGTATCTACATGCGCAATACTTGTCGGTTGATTCCATCGATAGCTTTCCCCAGTACTTATTGGAAACTCTGCATGTCTCTTGCGAACGGTATGCTCAAAGATCTGCACTTTGTGCGCGCCAAGAAATTCCTTGATGAGGTTTGCAACCTCGCGCAAGTAGATGCGCCTCACGGCGTCATCGTCGTTAAACTGTGCGTATGGCAATTGGGATTGGAATGGCAAGAGCTGGAAACCATGTCGGGAGAATTCCAGCGGCTCAGAACGTGAGCGCACATCATTGATGATGATATTGCGGTTGGTGAGCTTGATGTTCGAGGGTGGAAAGGCTGAGGGTGGAGTGAAGCGGAGAGAGTATGGTTTTTCGACCTCATATAAAGCATCGCGTTGAAGGAAGTTGGTCGTGGAAGTTGTTTTCATCGTATTGGAGAGTTCCACTGCTGCGATGCTGAAGGAGATGTACTCACGCTCAGAGACTTTGGCCATGTATGCTTTTCAAGGAGTCAGCCTCGTATCAGTACCCCTCACCGATCATACGTTGCACATCCCAGTCATGGCCAGCGAAGGTGTACTTGATATTTTCTCATTGTTGAAAAGCTTGTTGTCATGATCGCTTTCCACGGGAAAGTTTCCTGAGGGTTGTGAATGACATTTTGCCAAAACGGCTACAAGATACAAACTACCGCATACTTCCCGGGTAGCTGTTCATCAACTCTCCAAATCATACAGCAAGCACCCCCCGGTCCTAAAATTATACACGAAAGCCTTTCCTACAGCTCCTTCTCCATTCGTCCCACCTTCGCCCTTGTTCTCAACCCACTTTGCCCTATAACCCAGCAGTAGGTCGTGCAGCTCTTGCAGGTATTTCCTCTCAGCGAGCGGCATCTTTTGTATGAAGTAACGCCATGAGTCTGGGTCGCTGAGACGAGTCTCCTTGAGCAAGTTCATGACCTCTTCCTTGGACTCGATAGCAGCGATGGGTGCGGATTGGAACGCGGAAAGTAAATCTGTCGACCTTGACTGCGCGGCCTCAACGATAGACCATTTGTTGCTCTTCTTGGATCGATGTTGAGCAATGAGGACGTCGACGTTCGCTTTTGACGCGTTGGAAGTGTTGCTTGAGGTTGGTGGCGGAGCCTTGATGAGGCGGGCTGCGCTTCCCTCGCGTTCTTCGCGGTCTCGGAGCTCGTTGCGGAGGTAGTTCAAAAGATCGGTACTGCGCAAATCTGTGTCTTCTTTCTTTGCGATGGATTTGACCTTGAGCTCCGGCTTATCAGGGGCGACGCCGTGTTTGATGACGATAACCCAGCTATGTCTGTCTTCGCGATAATGACGTAAAATGTCTTCGATGGAGTGCGCATCGACGGCGAGTTCGGCGGTATAGCCATGAGCGATGAGGTCTGCTACCATCTTGATGCCGGTGGAACGGAGGACGTTCGGATCAAAACTAGCGACTAGACAGTCGCAGCGTCGTGGCATCCAGGAGATTGATGGCGTGTCTTCTTCAGCGTGCTTTCGCAAGAACGTCGACTTCTCAGGCTTCTTGATGTATCGGCTCATGGAGTTGACGAGTCTGTCCCACCCCAAGTTTACACCAACAGCGTGGTAAGCAGCCGCTGGATGTGCGTGACTTGAGCCTCTCGGGCGGTATTCTTCGATCAGCTTATCGTACCGGCCACCTGCAGCAAGCACTTCCCTCTGCTTTGTGTCGAACAGACATTGGAAGAGAATGCCACCGGAATAGAACTTCTCGTTGAAGCTGCTCAGTACACTGATGTAGACCTTGCGCTTCACGCCCCACAACTTCATGTAATTGATGACAGAGGTTAGGTGTGCAAAGACGACGTGAGTCCGATCAAGGTACTTGGTGCCTTCAAATAGTCGCCGCAGCTTCGCAAAAGCCTTTTCTGGGGTGTCGCGCCAATCGAAGCGTGCCAAATCATCTAACGATGTTGATGGAATGCCAATGTCGGAGGACCGTAATTCGTTACGTATCAACTGCCAGTTGTTCTTTCCGATGTTCAGCTTACTAAGGACTGCTTTGACTGCCGCGCGCTTTGGGACACTGATTCTGCAGAATTCCATGATCATGTCTAACAGATCAGCGTGATTCAAGTGGAAGCACATCTGCGTTGATCGAAATGAAGGGAACTCATCAATGATTTCATCGACGACCTTGAGAACCTCTGCCTCCTTCAAAGTAAGGTCGAGCGTATCGTAGGACAATATATCGAAGTCTGCCTCGCCGTTACTACGTGGAGCACTTCCGGTGTAGTCGTCACGGTAGACATGACCGATCGTAAAAGTCTTCTCTAGGAACGCTCCACCTCGACCGATGCTACGTGCGTACGGCAATGTCAGATCGTAAGGTAGCTGGACCAGGGTTCCAGAGGGGTCGAAAAGCTTGACAACCTTCGTGTCCGCATAATGGTCGGACCAGGGTAGTAGAACTTGACGTTGTATCTCAACAGCGCCATGGCTCCGGAAGACCATGGCCAATCTGTCCCTCACGAGATTCTGTAGAAGCACATCATTGGCCTTGATCTTCTGAGTGGTCGCGCTCAGATCCCAAGCATGGTCTTTTGCTTGCGTATCGGGCTTTTGTGAGAAAAGAGCAGCCATCATCTTTGCGTAGTGTGGTGAGTTTCGATCCGAAAGAGCCTTGAGCGCTTCTTTGACGGCCTCGTCCTCCATCTGAGCAGGCACCTTGCCGCTTCTCAGAAGCTCCGTACATCCAGGTCTCTCTGAAGGGCGATGGCTGATGAGTGATTTGATGATACTACCCTGCAACGACTTTTCCGGCGTCTCGAACTCTTGCGGAAGATCGTGTTTCCGCTCGCGTAACGATCGGATGACTTTGTCGCGCTCCATGGCAGTTCTCAGGGGAAAGCACATCTCGAAGAAGATGATGCCCATGGAGTACATATCCACCTTGTTGTTGTAGTCGCCAATAACGGTCGAGCTGAGCTCAGGAGCAACATAAAGCGCAGTACCGACACTCCGCGTCATGTCGCCACCATCCTGTGTACCATTGGAGGACTTTGTATCAGGCCTCTGATATTGGCCACTGGTGGCTAATCCAAAATCGCCGATCTTAGGCACCTTGGCCATATCGATGAAGACGTTGTCAGGTTTGAGGTCACGATGGATAATACCGTGGCCATGGATGTGAGCGAGTCCTTCGAGAATTTGTCGGAACAATCTCCAGTACTCGTCTGGATCGTCATAAAGTCCGGTACGTATCAAATCTCGGAGTGTCTGCTTCTCGCAAAACTCCATTTGAATGTACAAGATTGACCTCGAGGGCTTTGCAGGTGTTGAGTCGGACATGGCGCGCTTCTTGACTGGCGAGAGTGGCCCTATGCTTGCCTCATCTTCTGCCTACAGTCAGCTTGTTGTATACATGACGCTCCATGTCATTGGCTGCTTACCTGAGTCGGAGCCAAAGATTACTGCACCGACGTCATCTTCCGATTCTGCGTCAGACCCAAATTCGATCTTGGGATATCCACTGGAGCTAATGAAGTCTAAACCACCAGTGCTTCTTCCATGAGCGCCACCATCAGTCGTAGTCGTGCCTGGAGAAACGTCCGATTCCCAGTCAGACTCGTCGCCATCTGATGTTGCCGAGTCATAGTAATCATCCGCT